AAAAAAAAAAACACATCATAATAAAACCAATAACTTTTCAGCTTCTCATCGAAGCTAAAAAAACGATTTGTCATATAAATACCTGAAAAAGCTGTAGGTGGCTCAATAATATAATCCATGTTCATAGATAGTCTATCTAGAACATTGCCCGGGTCAGGTAAATCTTCAGACTCCAAAATGGATTTATAAATTTGTGATAATGAAGCAGACTGAGTGGCCGTATCTGTATACAAGACACTTTTAGTTAAATCTAATTAGTTGTCATTTTAAATGCACACTGAGGGCAGGTAAATGGTCAGATTTATAAAAATAAATATAATAAGTGATAGGTAAATACATCAACAATTTTTAAATTTGTAATTTTTTTGGAGGTTTCCCCCATTTACGGGAACGAGGGAATTTTTTTCAATTTTTGAAGGTAATGTCTTCGACTAGATACGATTTGTAATCTTTTGGCGTATCATTGAAGGAAATCGGTTCGGTGAGAGCTAAGAAAAAGTGGTAACATACTCAAAAAAAAAAACACATCATAATAAAACCAATAACTTTTCAGCTTCTCATCGAATAGTAGATTTCCACCTTCGGTGTATTTTTAAACACGGTAAAAGTGGATTTCTGGCGATTTTGTATTTATACATACACGCGCTCTGACGACCTTTTTGTGAGTCGCACAACGCCGCGAACACAACCATTTCAGTGTTTCGATAAAACGCTAGGCAGGTAGGGTGATCATACAAGTTATCACACCACAGCGATCGTTACATTTGACATCGGGTCCCATAAAACCGTTTGTATTATTAATTGTGTCGTCACGATCATAAAGATTGATAATGATGGTAATCGTATCATTGCAATCACATTCCCAGGTACAATTCACTGTCATAGTGCTTTATTAGTACAGTATCTAGCAAAAACAATAATTATACAAACGGCCAGCATTGTTAACGTTCATACGCGAATGCAAATCGCGTATTCTCGCGATTGTTGATATCGTATTTCCGAATAACAAAAACAAACTACCACTTGTACTTTTCATTTTTGGTTAAT